AATAAAAAGAAATGCAATTTTTAAAATCAGACCTTTTGTCAGATGAAAATGGAATTTGGGGCAACTTATGGAACTTTCTGGATAAATAAGAATTTATTGAACATCATCATTCACATATTCTTAGTGATTCCTTGAAGACTTCCCACTCCTTACAACCTCTTTGAAAGAAGTAAGCTTGTGAGACATGATTTCTATTTTTCTAAGAATTTCTATAGAGAACTTTGCAGAAACAAATTAATGTTCTAACTGAATGTTTTCAAATTGCAAGGGCTTTTGTATTTTTCTGGCTAAAATCTACAGAACTTTAGTAGTCATGATAAATTTGATTTAATGAAGCTTACTAGTTTTTTCTTCCATATTTCCTTTTCCAATGAATTTCAATAATGTCCTGCCAAATACGTGAATTTGTCTCTGTATGTATCTTAATGCATGGAAATTTAATTTTGAGTCTGGTTTATTTAGTATGTTTAGTACCAACTCAGAAAATGTAAATTGTTGCTCGGAGAGAGTAGATACATTTGTTACTCATTAATTCGTTCAACAAAAATGCTCTGTGTACATGCAGTATGCAAGGAATTTACTAGACACCAAAGGCATGTCGAGATAATTACAAAGCCTAGAAGCCAGCAAACATAAATTTAAATCACTTACATTTTTCTTCCCCTGGTCATATCCTACCGTGTTTACCCAAAGAAGGCATAGACGATATGGCTCCAAACTAGTTTTTCAAGCTCTAGTGTTCATTATGCACAGTCCAGAGACAGCGTAAGGAAACAAAATATTTGTAAAGGGCGAGCTTCCCTTCTCTGAATGGCCAGGCCAGATCCCTCTGGCTAAACTTGCCAGCACAAGAGCATGGTTCAGTAACTTTAAAATTCAGAATAAAAACACACCTGAAAAGGTCTCTGAGTAGAAAGGGCTGGGAGCATGAGAGGGGAACAAAGAAGTAGAATCCCTAGAAGATCTTGAGTTTCAAGAAAGAAAGAATTTAATTCCTTTCTTTTAATTCCTCTTCTGTGCCTGCTGCCCCTGTCCGTTTTAGCTTCAGCTGCCAGCACAGGTCTTTCTGGAGCTGCTCCGCTTGTCTTCCTTCTTCCTCCCAGAGTGCACATGGCCCGAGCTGAGGGAGTTGGATTTCTCTTTAAAGAAGCAGCTCTTTCAAAGGGGATTCTTGCTTCTTTCTATACCTCATTTTCTGCAGTTGAGTGTATTATCTTTCGTAACCTCTTCACCCAAACATCATATCATATCCAAGCAGTGGTATTTTCCCCAGCAGCCTCTGCTCTTGAGCATAGTTAATACTTATGCACAGTGCTGCTTTGAGGTGGTTGTTTTTTGTCTTTTGTCTTTTTCCATGTATTTCCAAGCATCTGCATTTACATTTCAGGTATTCTCCCTATTAAGTTGTAAACTTCCAGCAATGCCTGTGATAGCATCGGAAAGACCACAACTAAATTAGACTAGTATAGTTCTTCTATCTAATTTCATATGGTTTTGCTACATAGTTCTGCCTCCTGATTTTAAACTGTTCCCCATTTACCAGACCTTCACACAATGGAGAATAAATATAAATCTTACAGGGTGTCTTGCAAAGGGGGTATTCAATAAACATTCGTGGAGTCCTTAACCTGAGACTTTATTACCCAGAGACAGGGGAGCAGCCATCTTCTAGCTCTAAATAGGACAGAAGGAAAGGAACCTGGTTTGAATGATGTGGGAGGATTTACATTAGGTATAAGGAAAGGCTTAAACCTTGTAAGTCTTGACAGAAGAAAACCGTGCAGTGTTCCTTGAAGGTCTTTAAAGAAGAAGGAAGGCACTAATCTTGACAGATAACTTTGACTGCCCCATTCTGGAGAGGGAAGGAAAAGCACGTATCGAAATTCAGCTCAGTGACTCGGCTCAGCAACTACGCCTCTCGAAATGGAATCTACGCCCGAGATTGGGCAGGAAAATAATTGTCCCTTTAAAAGTAATAGCTGCTGTTTATTCAGTGCAGAGCACTTGTATCCATTTCCTCCTTCAAGGTAAATATTATTATTCCTATTTCATAGATGAGGAAACCAAGACATAATGGGTTAAATAACTTGCCCAAAGCCACAGTTGGTAAGTGGTGGAGCAGAGACTGAGCCCAGATCTCCTCTGAACTTAAAGACCATGCCCCTAATCATTACATGGTATGAAATTCTTTAGGGAGGGATCAGATGTGAGTGTGGATGCCAGCGGGCAACTTGGATCTGTGGAAAATATTTGTCATTGAAAGTTGCAGCTTCCAACATGGGAAAACCAAGTTATGGCACTAACCTGAATTCACTACCTTACTTCACTTGGCTCACAGATTTCTACACAGTAGATTTTCACCAAACTTGTGATTACCTCTGAAAAATCTGGGACTCTGAAAAACCTAAATAATTGACCTTAGGGTATGGAGGAAAGCCCAGTGCGATTTATTACTAAACCAATACTTACTGGATGGTACTTAAGCCTATAATTTTCCTTGTGCCAATAGATAAACATCATATTCCAAATATTTTGCTGTAGTATTTTCTAGTATTTTACGGTTCTTTGAAGGGGAGATTAAAACAGCATCTAGTTTATGGCTTTTATTTATTTTTTAAATATATTTTATGGATTATGCCATTACACTTGTCCCATTTTTCCCCCTTTATTCTTCTCCACCCTGTACCCTGCTCCCACCAGCATTCCTCTTCCTTAGTTCATGTCCATGGGTCGTACATAAAAGTTCTTTGGCTTCTCCATTTCCTATACTGTTCTTAACCTCCGCCTGTCTATTTTGTACCTACAATTTATGCTTCTTATTCCCTGTACTTTTCCCCCTATTCTCTTCCTCCTCCTCCCCAAGGATAACCCTCCATGTGATCTCCATTTCTGTGATTTTCTTCCTGTTCTAGTTGTTTGCTTAGTTTGTTTTTGTTTTTATAGTTTCAGTTGTTGGGAGTTGTGAGTTTGTTGTCATTTTACTGCTCATATTTTTTATCTTCTTCTTTTTCTTTGATAAGTCCCTTTAACATTTCATAGAATAAGGGCTTAGTCATGATGAACTCCTTTAACTTGACCTTACCTGGGAAGCACTTTATCTGTCCTTCCATTCTAAATGAAAGCTTTGCTGGATAGAGTAATCTTGGATGTAGGTCCTTGCCTTTCATGACTTGGAATACTTCACTCCAGCCTGTTCTTGCCTGCAAGGTTTCTTTTGAGAAATCAGCTGACAGTCTAATGGGAACTCCTTTGTAGGCAACTGTCTCCTTTTCTCTTGCTGCTTTTAAGATTCTCTCCTTATGTTTCATCTTGGGAAATGTAATTATGATGTGCCTTGGTATGTGCTTCCTTGGGTCCAACTTCTTTGGGACTCTCTGAGCTTCCTGGACTTCCTGGAAGTCGATTTCCTTTGCCAGATTGGGGAAGTTTTCTTTCATTATTTGTTCAAATAAGTTTTTAATTTCTTGCTCTTCCTCTTCTCCTTCTGGCACCCTTACGATTCAGATGTTGGAACATTTAAAGTTGCCCTGGAGGTTTGTAAGCCTTTCCTCATTTTTTTTTTAAATTCTTGTTTCTTCATTCTGTTGTGGTTGAATGTTTATTTCTTCCTTCTGGTACAAATAGTTGACTTGAGTCTCAGTTTCCTTCCCTTAACTCTTGGTTTCCTATACATTTTCCTTTATTTCTCTTTGTATAGTCTTCACTTTTTCCTCTATTTTGTGACCATACGCAACCATTTCTGTGAGCATACTGATTAACAGCGTTTTGAATTCTGTATCTAATAAGGTGGCTACCTCTTCATCACTTAGTTGTATTTTTTCTGGAGCTTTGATTTGTTGATTCATTTGGGCCATATTTCTTCATCTCAGTGTGACTGTTATGTAGTAAGGGGCAGAGCCTTAGGTATTTGTCAGGGTGGGGCAACCCACGATGCTGTGTTGTGGCTATACACAGGGGAGAGGTTCAAGAGGGAACAATGCCGCTTGCTTGGCTCTCAGCAGGCTTTTAGTCACTTCCCCCGCTATCCACAAGCAAATTGGGTCCTTCTGGTGCTGATTCCTGGGTAGGTGGGTTTCTGTATATTCTAGGACCCTGTGGGTCTCTCCAGTGAATTCCCCTGTGAGGCTGGAAGATTTTCTTGATGCTGCAACCCCCATAGGTTTTTACAGCCAGAGGTTTTGAGGCTTTATTTCCCACACTGGAGCCCTGGGTTGCGTGGTCTGCCTCATTCCCTAACTGTTCCTCCTGGTTAATCTTCATGGAAATGTGGGGCCGCCTGGTCCAGCAGCCTCCGCCTCACCCGCCCTGGTCCTCCAGCTTCCACCTTGCCACGAGTCCTCTTCACCCCGGCTGCCTGTCTCCACCCCTCCTGTGGGTCTGGATGAATGTTTCTCTTTTAACTAGTTGGTTGTTGGACTTCCATACAGTTCAGTTTTCTGGCAGTTCTGGTTATTTTTTGTTTTTAAACTTGTCGTCCTTTTGGTTGTGTGAGTACGCAAAGTGTATCTACCTATGCCTCCATCTTGGCCAGAAGTCCTAGTTTATGCCTTTTATAAGATTGCTGAATTTATTGGATGAATCAATGTGGTAACTTTGGGTTATATTATTTTTGGAAATTTTTAGGAATTTAAATCAGAATTCTGGAATTAAATCAGAATCAGACAAATTTGACTGAAGTCTCTATATTAACTGTTATTTATTCTTGATCTTTCTGTGTTTTGTTATTTATATTTCTATATTGGCTTTTCATTTACTTCTTACAGGACAAATTAAATAATCTAATTAAGCATTGTAGATGTTTAACTGCATAAGGGTTAATGAATGAACTGGAATAAAAGATTAAACAACTAATAAAGATCTTGGGTGGTTTGATTCATTAAATCAAATAAAGCACCACCCAAATGACTGAAAAATAATCACCAAGTAAGTACTTTAAAAATACTTTATGCTAAAAAGAGAATAAGCTAATGATCATCGTCTTGCTTTTGAAATATTACCAGTGGCCCTGGAAGGGATTTGGAGCATTAAAAGGAATCTCCCCATGGGAGGTTCGAAGCCAGCACTGCCCAGCAGAAACACTTTACTGCCACAGGCCAAGTTCTACTCGAGGCACGGGGGGCTGAGAAGTAAGACCCCGACATCCCAGCCTCCACCAAAGCCCTGAAGGTGCTGAACAGTCTACACACCGGTGGTGTGTGCGTTATTCAAAGTTCTCAATCAAAATCCAATCTTCCTTTTGCCTCGCTGCCTTCAGGTTACTTTCAGTTTAGCCACATTGCCTCATTGTAGAATTTAAGCGGTTAACAGTTCAGCTAACCAGTTTTTTACCCCATGTAAGCAACAGAAGTTCCTATCTGACTCTTTCCTTCACTTAGGTATATGCGTGGAAGACTTCCTAGCCCACAGCTAGCCTCAGTGGGGAGGAATCTCACATGGCCCTTTCCTCTGGATGAATGATCTTTGTTTACCAGTGGAGATGGGGGATGAGAGATGAAGGAAGTAAGGAAGAATAAGGCACTGCTTTGCTCGGCTCTCTCGGTTGCACCCCATTTTATGTAAGAGGCCATCGGGCTGGGCACAGTGTACTGTTCCTCACAGACACAGAGTCTGGGACAGATGTTACTCACCCCTCACTGTCACAGCCCGTGTCTGCCAGGAACATTTGTGGCAGGATGTGCAGAAGGCAGGGGGCTTGCCATGGAAGCACAGTGGTGTTCAGATAGTCGAGGGATATGAAATTGGGTATCCAAAAAATAGCTCTACAGTCGGGATGTTACTCCAGGGTAAGACGAGAAAGGTGGGCAAGTGCCACGCTTGGGGTCACACAAGGTATGACTCATAATAACAAATGTTATGTAGCATTTGAGGTTCTAGATTCTTCACATATGTTCATCCATTTCATCTTTACAACAACCACATGAAACAGTTATAATTCATTTCACAGATGAGAAAACTGAGGCACAGAAAGGTTCAGCAATTTATCCAGAGTCACTCAACTAGTAAGTGGAAGTACTAAGATTTGAACCCAGGCAGCCAGTCTCCAATGGCTTTTAACCACGGGGAACTATTGCCTCTGAGACAAACAGTGCTCAAGTTGTGGGTGTCTGTTCAACCTGGAGGACGGTGAGACCTCAGCAAAAGTGCCACAAAGGAGGAAGATTCCTGGGGAGACAGCCTCTGTGCCACTTGTAGGGAGAAAACATAGCCACTGAGAGATACAAGGTAACACAAATAAGCAGAAACCCTTGTTACTAAGGGGGATTCATGTAGCAGTAAGGAGACCTGGGTTTACTAAGGAGTAGAAATAGCCCCAGCATTTACCATGTGCCAGGCATGGCCGAAAGTATAATTCTTGTATAATTCTGTGACCCGCACAATCACATGAGATATGTTCAATCTCCATTTTCCAGGCAAGAAAGCTGAAGCATAAAAAGTCATAATCCCAGATCTCATGTCTAGGAGATAGTGAGGTCAGAACTACAAAGCTGTGTCCATCTGACCCCCGAGACTCTACTCTTCCACACGCGGCCATCATGGCAGAGAACCTGGTCACTGGGAAACAAGGGTGGAACCAGACGTGGTGGTTAAACAGGCACAAATGCCAGGGCTATGGAATCGCAGGGTTAGGAACTTAGAAGGCAACTCCACTCAAAATCCACAAAGATATCAATGTCCTGAAGTAATGGTTGATTCAACCCACATCTGGGACACTTGCCCATTCAGAGTTGTTTATTTCAACTTTCCACCCAGTTTGTCAGGTCCCATTTACAAATGGGTAAATCCATCATTCCATGAAAACTCCATAAAGCAATTCATTTGGAAAGTGAATAGTTTTCTAAATGCTATATTGTAAGACTGGTTTGGAGAACAAATTACCTTCATTTGAAGACAAGAAGTCCAATAGATTACCCAGTTCCTCAGTGGGGACATATGATTTAAAATGTGTGTTTTATTTTGGCCATAATCGCATTACTTCCATCCATAGAATTCAGGAGACACTTGTTCATGATTCCCGCTCATTGTTACTCACCCACATGGCCTTCCTAGAAGCCCTTAGTCCTCTGTCTCCAGCCCATGTCAGGCCCTTCTAGTGATCATGTTACCCAGTGTAACTGTTATTGTTACATCTTAGCTCCTTATCATTAAGTTGCCAGCTGCATTTTGCTTTATGGACTGCTACTATCTGCCATACCAATCACAAATGATCAGTCGATATGAGCCAGACTGGTAACAAAATTAGACCTTTCTCATTATCAGTGAAATAAGGTAGATAGATGTAAGGCATGGAGATACCAGGGATGTACAAAATCCATACATAGTTTTCGAAAATTGGTCAGTGGTAATTCGTACACTGTCAGAAGCACCATGAAGGCAGGGACTGTGTCTCTTCACTCACTGCCCTGTATCTAGAACTGAGCCCTGGGCCTGGCAGAGTAAATGCTCCGTCAGTTTTGTCATTTACAGAATGACCAGTGGATGATGAACCAGCATGTGCATGATGAACACGTACTGCGTGTTCAGAATATTCTCACTGCTAACCCATGTGTGTCTCCCCCTCCACAAAAGTCTATGGTTTTCTGCCACTTGATACTGCCAAGTTAAACGGAATGCAGATAATGGAAGGAAAAGCAAGGAAATATATTGATTTTAGTGTGTGAATCATGAAAAGTTTCACATATCTTTGATATACCTTGGAACTGACACTTTCGAAGAGAGGTTTTTTATGGGTTACAATATTTCCAGAAACTTCTCCTGTGAAGTGTACTTCATTTGGACAACTCAGTCAATCCTTACTCATCATCTTTTTTTTTTATTTACTTGTACTTCTTTCCACTCTCTCGTGAACAACACGATCCTTGCAGCTGTTAATTTTCCCACATTTAATGCACCTCATTTAAAATTTAGAGTAATGGTCATCCAGTTGTAGTTCTGAAACACATTTCTATTAGAGACTGCAGACAGAAGTTTCACTTGCATCATCCTAACAAGTTTTGTTCATTTACTTTCTTATCAGTTTCTTTCTTATTCTGTGGCTTGTAAAAACAACAAACAGCTGTCTCGTCTGGTGCTTCCCAATGTGTAGGCACATTAAAGCTAAGAGATCACATGGGTCTCTCGTTAAAATGCAGATTCTGATACAGTAGGCTTTTCAGAGCCAAGGGAGCCAAGAGAGCCAAGCATGCAGGTCTGGCGTGGGGTCTGAGATTCTCCATTTCTGAGCGGGTCCTGGGTGAAGCCAGCGTGCTGGAAGGGACACTGCTCTCTGAGTGGTGAGGGCCTAGAAGGCGGAGGGGCGGTTTCCCAGTGACCTGAATCGAGGAGTGGTTGTGGCTTTTCCATTCTGCTCTACCAAATGTAGTCCTGTTGGGAACATTAAATCAAACTTGAATTAAAATGGAGTTGGGATTAAAGAGCATTTTCCCAGACTAAAAGTTACTTAAATCACATATTTCTTTACTCTAGGGTAAGAAGAATAAATTTTTTCTCTGAGAAGAAACCTTTCTCCTAATGTTCGAAAAACAGAAGAAATCCAAGCTCGTTTCACAGTTTAAGAGGTGTAAAAAAATGTACATTAATCTATTATTTCTATTATTGGTATTAATTCCTGCCTATTGATTAATCCAAAGTAATGACGGACTATTGATAAAGTTTGCTAAGCACCTGAAAACAGTGAAGAAAAATATATTTATTTTTAGTCGTCACAGTTGAAATATATTGGGCTTGTAATTCAGATCATTTTATTAAATATATAAAATATAATAAAACAAAGGTGCATTTATTGTCTTTACGCCAGGTAAACACTATAAACTTTAACCTTTCACTAGGATACCATTATGTTCATTCCTTAAAAACAAAACAAAATGGATGACAGTCGGGTGTAGGTACAGGTGAAAGGAAAGATGGGGTGAAAAACTCCTAACTCGGAGACAACCCTTCTCTCGCTAGAGCACCTCCTTTCTCTAGAATTTGTCCACTACATAGTAAGCAGCCCAGAATTTTATGGAGAGATGTAAAAGAAAGGGAAAAAATTTTTACTAATACTACCGGGTTTTAAAAAAAGACTAAAAGAAGGGGAAAGATCCAACCTTATTCTGCTCTCCTCGCTCAGTTGTCAAAAGTAGTATCTATGTAATATAGAAAAAATGGAAAATAAAGGAAAAAACCATCTGTAATTCACCTCCCCAAAACAAGCACTGATCTCATGTTTAGGTATTTTCATTCTTTTTTCTTATTCATTTTTTAGTTTACATATTTGAGACCACATTTACAGTATCTTTACTTATTATCCCTTTTAACATACATCATATAATTTCCCATTCATTAAAATTTTACTTTAAATAATTACATTAAAAATCTTCATATGTTTGTACTGATTTTTTACATTTGCTAATCTATTTTTGGACATTTTGATTTTTCATTTTATATATAACCATTGTGGTTTACTTACCACAACCACCCCTTAAAAAGTTTTTTCCTAGTATTCTGGTTATAACACACTGTTCATTCTACTTCCTCTGTGGGCTAAGATCATCTTAAAATTTCCTCCGGTTTACAGTTCTCAAGTTTACTTCTCCGTTTCTTTTTTTATATAAAGATTCTTTTTTTAAGATTAATTAATTTATTTCTAGAGCGAGGGGAAGGGACAGAGGAAGAGAAGGAGAGAAACATCAGTGTGTGGTTGCCTCTCACACGCCCCCCACTGGAGACCTGTCCCACAACCCAGGCATGTGCCCTGACTGGGAATCGAACCAGCAACCCTCCGGAGCTCAGCCCACGCTTAATCCACTGAGCCATACCAGTTAGGGCTACTTCTCAGTTTCAATGTAATAAATCAAGTCAGGTAAACAAAGATTTGTTGGTTGGTTATGTCCTTTCCCTACTTAAAAATATTTACACTGTAAAACAGCCAATAATCTTTTGAGTCAGAGTCCAAACTTCTCCAGATTTAAAAAAAATTTCCATTTAGTTAATACATACGAGAAGAGATACTACCTGGAAGCCAATTCCGGCCACTACCGTGTTTATGGAACTCTCTCATCATTGGCTATTTCAATAACAGTGCTTTGGGCCAGTGGTTAAAACTGGAGAGACTACATCTTAAGTTAGTCAAGGGCTGTAACACCAAAAACTACCTGGAGTTGAGGTAAATCCTTTCTTAATGATCCAAAATATTAGCCTTCTAAAAATGCTTACCATCAATTTCTTTTGCACGTATGTTAGGATGACAGAAAAAGCACAGGGGGTGGGAAGTATTATTCATCCATTGGAAATGATATCCTGTTTGCACTTGAGCCCCCAGTGTGACTTTACAAACATGCTCAGGGACTTCCTTCCTCACTTGACTTTACTCCTGCCCAATAAACAAGATGTCCCCACTCCACCCACACCCAGTCCCTTTCATTCTCAGGCTTGCTGCCTGGGCTGGGTGCGCCACTGAGGACTGATTCATTCACTGTTTCCTTGTTGGGTATCTGTCCTTATTCCACTCTGGGGCTCTGGGGCCCTGGTTCCTTTTGTGGTTAAATTCTGTTCTTCATCACCCCATTGCACATCTTCCTAACTGGAGTCATGTACACAGTTTTTCATGCCAGGATTGCTTACAATAATGAATAACTAAAACGATCTAAACACGAAATGTAGAGAACAATTTTAAAAATTACTATATAATACCATGCATTTTTTTCATTTTTAATTTAATAACCACTTTTAAAATAAAAACTCTTTGAAAACCAGATTACAAGGACACTTCATGAAAATGATAAAAATCTACAGCAATCTTAAACCAATAGCCATCTTCATACTTCATGATAGAGAATAAGAATATTTCTTCTAAATTCAGGAATAAAACAAAAATGCTTTTTTTTCTCCTAATGATGTTTGCAACTTGTTCACTTTCGTTCTTTATTTTAGTTGCTCCTGGCTCGAGTAGCCTTTGAATTTCCTCGGTCTGTGCCAGAACAGCACACTGGAGAACTCGGTGTCACGGGGCTGGCACCCCTATTCTTAATTTGGCCAAACGCTCCTGGCAAAGTATCTGTGAGCCATACAGATGAAAAGATTAGAAGTAGGAAGTAACAAGCCAAAATGATTGGGAAGACTATTGAGCTGCACAAAATGAGACACAAGTTTTCTGCAAAAACAAATTTTTAGTCTTAAAGAAATCCTTCCCTTGGTTTATCTCATAAACATGCCCTTTGTCTTACAACTAAAATGTTTATAGAGATAGAAATCATATAATGAGGAGGTTTTCATTTTATTTTTATATTTTAAAGATTTCATTTATTTCTTTTTAGGAAGAGGGGAAGGGAGGGAGACGGAGAGAAACATCAGTTGGTTGCTCCTCACATACCACAAACCAGGGACCCAGCCCACAACCCAGGCATGTGCCCTGACCAGGAATTCAACCGGGGACATTTTTGTTTGTGGGATGACGCCCAACCCACTGAACCACACCAGTCAGGGAAATGAGGAGAGTTTTAAAAATAAAATATGATCACATTACACATATTATATGGTCTGCATTTTTTCACTTAGTTATACACTATGACCATTTTCCTGTATGATATGTTTGTCTATATCATGATTTTATAGGATATATAGTATATCCTGATAGGACAGTACCAAAATTTTCTTAACCTTGTCTCTATTGATGGGTATTTATTTTGCATTCCATTTTTCTAAACTTGGCATTTTGAGAAATATTTCTACCTCCTTCTACCCACAAAACAAATAGGAAACACCTCAGTCAGATTTTCTCATAACCCGGACGGTTTTCCCCTTAATTCTGATAGAAATCTGCAGGTTTATACTCCAGAAGGAATAAACCAGAAGAACTTTGAATGAAATTAGGGCAATCAAGTCAGGAGTCAACGGTGTCCATTTCAAGAGCACCAATCCCCTGAGTTCCCAGAATGATTCAGTGTTTCCCCAGATTCACATGCCTGTCTGTGAGCGCGCGCACACACACACACACACACACACACACACACACACACACACACACACACGACAGGAGATCAGAGGTACATGGTTGGACTTGGACATTGTGCTGTACTAAGTGAAATAAGCCAGTCACCGGAACACAGATACCACATGATTCCACCTATATGATAGTCAAACTTGTAGAAGCAAAGAATACAATGGTGGTTGCCATGGGCTGAGGTAAAGGAGAATGAGGGGATTGCTATTCTATTCATTGGGTATAAATTTTTAAAAAATAAGTAATAGGTAAAATGCTGACTAAACCCGTGTGTGTGAGCAAAGCTTGTTGACTGGTGGTTTCCCTTACACAGGGCATGGTCCAAGACAAGGCTATTTGTAGAGAGAATGCCAGCCGTCGGTTAACTGCAGGTTTGTGTGTGTGTTGTGATGAAGTCATGTTTTTGATGTGTATTTAAAGTCATGAAACAAAGCTTATATTAAAGGAGGAAAGTTGAATACATATAGTATTACAATATGATCTTCGCATATTATATATACTGTGTATTCATCATATACCAAAATATAAAAAGTGGTTATCTTGAGGTAGAGATGGAAGAGAAGCATTATTTTCTTCTTATATTTTTCTGTATTAAAAAATGTCATATAATATATATGGGACAAACATAATAAACACTATGAAAAAATCTTCCCTAATTTGAGATAATCAGGGAAGGTACTTTTATATACTTTATTTCTTACCATACCTCAGTTAGTTTTGGTTTTAATTTTTTTACCTTTCAGCTGTCTTTTGCATGGTGAATAGTAATGACACCTGTTAAGTAACAAACTCTTTTTTTTTTCTGGTGCCCATACAATAGATGATGCCACTTAAAATGGCAGCAAATTTTGTTCCCCCACCCCAACTTTTTGTCTAAAACTGCCTCCTATAAGTCACTATAATTGTAACCAAAAGAATTCTCACTAACACAAATGCCTTTAGTTTTATCCGACTTAATTATAGTGCTTGCTTGGAGCCCGTGTGCAGGCTCACTGGTTCTGGTTTATAATCCCATGTCTCTACAACTAAAGGAGAGAGAGTGGGAAGTATGGGGTGAAGAGTCTCATGTCTACCCCATCCCCGCAACCGAAACTTGCTTCCCTTACCATTGAAAATCTGACAAACTTTGCTCAAACTAATTGTAAATGGAGATGAGAAAGATTCCAACATAGAGACCTGAAAGAACTTTCTACACTCATAGTGACACTGGATCAATACAGAGGTGACAAAGGGCAAAGTGATCAGGTAATCAAGGAAATGGTGCTTCGAGAGACAAGCGTGCAGTCCAAACACATCACAGCTTCTCATGTCAGTCTTCAGATTCTTTTGATCTGGACTTGCTCTGAAGTTATCATTTACATGGGTGGGTTGAGTATGGTAGCCAGCTGTCCCACAAGGGCAGAAAGGTTGGCCTGTTTGTTCAGCTGTACCTCATGTGCCTGGCACATAACTGGCATCAACAAACATTATTGCATGAAGTTCTCCTTGTGCAGATTTACAAGTTCAAGCAAGGTCTGACTCTAATGTCATTACAGGACAATTCACAGTCCTGTATTTCTTGGTAAACATTTTAGAAACAGCTCTACCAGCTGGTAAGGACAAGAGTCATGTCATAATATATCAAAGTAAAGACAAAACTGCAGTATTTTATTTTTTAAAGGAACACAGCAAATCCTAGGGTCATCATATCAAAATCTAACAAGAATCCTCATTGCTTCTTTCTTACACTGGGG